ACCCCCACGGCGGCCCCCGGTGCTCGCCGAGGCCGGCTGACCCGGGCACCAGGCCAAGCTCTGCTCTGCTGAACTGGAGGAGGAGGGTGGAGGGCTGGGGGCCAGGGGAGGGGGACAACACCTGCAGGCCTGAGCCATGCAACAGGACACGTAGGCTCAAGCCACAGCTGAAGGGTGAAGGAAGGTGCATGAAGTCACTTGGGGACTGGTGCTGGGTACCCCCACCACGCACCAGAGAGGCACCAGCAGCCCCTTCCCCACCACACCCCCCCCAACCCTCCTCCACAGGGCCAGCGACCCAGCCCCCACAGCCTCCTCAGCTCCCCGCTCGAGGTGTGCACAGCCAGGGCTGCAGGATGCCCCATCTGCATCTGCGGCAAGGGATGGTGACGGGTCCTGCCTTCCCTGGGGAAGCGCCTGAGCAGGGTGGGAAGGAGCAGCAGCCCTGGTCCCTCCAGGACGGGCAGCAGAGCTGGCCATCAGGCTAACCTCCGTGCAAGCACCAGCACGAGACCCACCACGAAACCTCTTGGAGCTCGAGGAAAACAGCATTTCAGAACTCGAGCGCCGGCGGGGCTGGCCTGGCCAGCAGGACCATCTCCTCCAGGCTCAGCGCTGGCCCAAGCCCCGAGCGATAGCAGCAGCACGCAGGGCTTGGCGCGGGCTCAGGGCAGCGCTAGGCTGGAAGGAATGCAGGGCTTGCAGCCAAGTCCGCCTGGAGAGATAATCCGAAGCGGAAAGAGCTTGTCCGATGGGCGCTGCGAGAAGGGGGAAGGACCGGCTGGAGCAGGAGGCGATGGCTGTCCCTGCTCATGCACTGCGAAGCCTTTGCTGCACCAGCTTCATCCCATTCTCCATCTCTGTAAAGCCATCCCTGGCACCAGGAAGGGCCCCAGGGACCCACTCCCACCACCCAAGGGGGAAGGGGCCCCATCCCGCTCCCCACACCCAGGAGGAGCGCAGAGCAGGCTGCAGAGCTGCTGCCAGCCGTGGCTGGCTCCCTGCCCTGCGCTTTTTTCATCTAGAGACACACAAAGGCACAGCTGGAAGCCTGGCACGTCACGGAGAAACATGATAGTCCTACAGCAGCCACTGCAGAAGAGTGGGCGAGCCCGGTGGCAGAATGGGTCCTGGAGCCGCTGGAGTGGACTCACCCACCACAGCCCAGGCAAGAGGCTTTGCTGGGGCCCATTGGTCCCTGAACACCCAGGAGGGAAGGAGATGTGAACCCAGACTCTGGCTAGGAACATGAAGGCATAACATCTCCATTGCCTGGCTATCTCTGGATGGGGCAGGGGCACAGCAGGAGCTTCAGGCCTCCTGATCACCGGGAGAGGCTGTAAACACTCGCAGCCCCAGCCTTGTCCCGTGGGTACATGCCTTTGGCTGCATCTCCTCCCAGCTATTCTGTCATCCCTCGGAAATGCTGCGCTCCAGTATCACGGCTGCTGAATCAGCTTCCCCAGGCAAGATGTGCTGGGCAGAGGCCCGGAGGAGACACAGCCAACGCTCCATAACGTCAGGCAGAGGATCCCAGAGCTCCTGCCTCGCAGCCAGCGCTCACACACGCTCTTGAACCATGGAGCGCTGCTGGGTGTCTCCTCTGAGCACATCTGCCATCACCCAGCTTCTCTCTGCCTCCGGGAAAGGGAGGATCCAAGGTGCGGGCTCTGATCTTGCTGCTACACGCTGGAGGGCTGAGCTGCCTTTCATAGGTGCCCACCTGAGCTCACTCCCCTCTGCAAGCAGTGACAAAGGCCCTCCAGCAGCTACCGGCCTCCCGAGGCAGAAGGGAGAGGTGCTGGGGACACAGCGCATGGGTGCTGGGGGCTTGGAAGGGTCCTGCAGCAGCTGGGAAGCAGGCAGAGAGCTGCCAGCACTCTCAGCAGCAGTGAATTCCCTCCTTGCCACCACGCTCTTCAGGCTGTTAGGAGGGGAGTGGGTGCACTCAAGTCCCAACAAGCAGAGGAGATCAGACCTGTGGTGACATCGGGCTGGAAACGTGCTGCGTGCTCCCACAGCCCAGCACAGTACTCAGAGGCTCCCACTGCTCCAAAGCAGAGAGAGCAGGAGCAGCCACCCCAGGGACAAACACCTGAGGGAACCGAGCGAGCCACAGCAGACCCTTGGCCAGGCTGCGCTGGCGACGCACCCCACGCGCTCCCAAAGTCAGCTGCGGGACTGGGAGGCCGGGTTACCACCGGCCCGCGGCCCGCCGTCCCCAGCCCGCAGAGCAGCCCAGGGCGTGGAGCCGGTTCCCTCCGCTGCCGAGCGCAGACGTGCTTTGAATCCACCCCTTCCCCGGCAGCAGGGACCCCCTGGACCGCAGACCAGACACCTCCAAACTTTTTCCTGGTAGCAGAGGCCAGGCAGTAGTTTGTAGAGACGTGGGCTGCAGGGACCGGGACAAACCTTGCCAACGCGCTGGCGATGGC